TCTCTATTTGTCTTTCTTTTTCTCCTTTCTCTTGTCTTTCCTTCTCTCTTTCTCTCTATCTCTCCCTGTTTATCCATAGCTATCTTTCTTTTTGTCTCTCTTTCACTCTTTCTATCCTTGTTTCTCTATAGCCATCTATGTATCTCTCTCTCTCTCTCTAGCTCTCTGTTTCTCTCTCTAGCTTTCTCTCCCTTCAGCTTACTCCCTCCCTCTCTACCTCTCTCTGTCTCTCTCACTCCCTCTTTCTCTCTCTCACTCCCTCTTTCTCTCTCTCTCTCCTCTCTATCGGTCAAACACACACACCCAAACACCCAGGTGTGTGACAGTTGACAACTTTCGATGAAGACATTTAGACATTGTTCTTTACAGCTACTAAGCTTTTTGAAATGTTGTTAAAATTATGGTAAATAGGTTTATATCATCATTATTGTAGATATAAATGGATATGGACAGCGTGCAGGTTAGAAATAATTCCTCAAGATACTTTGAAGACACCCCGCTGTGACAAATTACTTATATAAATGACCTTTTCATTCTGCCTAACAAAATGGCCGCCAGTAGATGAGTTACGAGTTAGTTGCACGCTATGTGTCGGACCACTTCATTGAAAACAGGTCGACTTGAAACATTCAACCGTTTCACGCCTGGTGATTATTCTGCAAAACTGCAACAGTTAATTATTTTCCCACGATCGGTTGGTATTTATTGTGAATGGTCAGTGAAACGCAACATTACACAACCAAGGAACCCGCTACTTAATCTCAAGGCAAGTACCCCAATTTCACACTTAGATTCGTAACAACATAGTTTCCTACAAATTAACATGACTCGGAAAGTTTTACGTTAAATTACAATAGTCTACATTGATTTCATACAATCCGATGTCTTTCAAATCAACAGTACGGTTGCTAAATATAATTATAATATGTTTGAAGTCAAAACTGTTGGTCAAACACAAAAATTCTCTCACCTAGAGCTTTCGACCAGTCACTCTAGGTGAGGGAAGTTTTGTGTTCGACCAAAAGTTTTAACTTTAAACATGTAACTACCAACACAGATGAACTTTCATGATAGTATAATCTCAATATATACTGTTATGTATACTTTTGAATGTTTGCGTTATACATCATTCTTTTGTAGATATGAATCGTATAAGTTACTCTCCCATGACCTGTGTATTTTCTTAAGTAGATGATCAGCGAACCGTAACAGGACATACATAAGACCTGCTATCTTCACGTTAGTCTAATGACAACATTGGTTTCTGTAAATTTCGCCTGTTGATTGTTTCCCACGACAATAATGTTTAGGTCGATGGTCAGCCGCAACAATACACACTAAGATATGCATTAGATGTATAAATATATAGACTATGACAACATATTTATACACCAACTTTACACATAATCTATCTTCCATTTTCCAAAAATTAAGGTTTCAAATTAAGATCTGTGTCTGCCGAAAAAAAAGCTACGAATTCATACAAATTCTCCCAACTTTCATGCTCAAATTAACAGTATTGCTGGACATCTAACGCTTTTATAAAATGTACATCTATACCATACTGTAACCACGAAAGTATTACAAAATTCACATAGTATGCCACTTATGTGCCTCTCTGTTGTGAAGCCAAGTCCTACCTTTTTGGTGTAAATGCTGTAACTCAGTGGAAGCATACATTTTACAAAAGGGTGTCCAGTCCGGTGTTTGTGTTTGTTTGTTTGTTTGTTCGCTTTAGTCCATGGTGTCAACGGCACCACTTCCTTGTCGGGTACGGTTAGTTAGTAAGTCTGTCTGTCTGTCTGTCTGTTTGTTTGTTTGTTTGTTTGTTTGTTTGTTTATTCCACGTTATCAGCAGTGCGTCTTCCTTTTCAGTTTTGTTTGTTTGTCAGCAGTAGGACTCCCGTGACAGGTAAGGCGTG